GCTGGGGTTAAACCACGCCAATGCTGTTTTCTGAAACTGCATCTATAGGAATCAAAGATGCTGATGGTCTTCTTTGCAGGGTACTTAGCTAACTAAACTCTGAGGAATTACTTGCAATTTGTTTTTAATTTTGAAAGCTGCTGCTTTTACCTACCCCGCCAACCTGTTACCACACATTAGTTTATGTGTCTGAAAATGATCTAATTTTTCCAATGAAGACAGCTCATCTAATGAAAGATATTTACATACAGAGCTTGCACAGCCTCTCTTTACATCATAATGGCTACAGCAAATGCCAACAGAAGTAATGGCATGTTTTCCTGACTTGATAGTATCTCTCCCCAAAATTCATGAAAATACACCAGAAACATAAAACACAGGAGTACCATCATTAAAAACCAAGGATGTGTTCTGTGGGGAAACACAGGAGAGAGGCAAGCTGTAATGCAGCCTACAGATATCATTTGCAACTCATTTTCCAGTGTCATAATGAATTGTTTCTCCATTGAACAGAGGCCAGCTTTGGTGGAAGGATATTAAATACAGTAGTAGGCAACGTGTGTGACAGAGTGAAGCACAAACCATTTGGTCCTCTGTAAGAGTGAAAGGATTATGTTTCAGTAAAAGAATTGGGAATCATAATGCAAGGCTTTAGGAGACTGTGGCAGAATTTTTAAGAAGGAAAATTCCAGCTTTATGGAGTTGCAGACACTCCATATAGCAATGATGGTACATTTTGCTGTCTGTCATTGGGTGTAGGTTTTACAAATACACAAGTATTTCATTTCAGTTGACTCATACAAATGGTACCTGGAATTCAGCAGCTGAGCTGGATTATTTAAGATTTATACCATTTCTGTAGGAATAACTGTTTCCAGTCACATGTAGCTAGCAACTTATATGATGATGTATGAGCCAAGATGAAACTCAGCAGTTTCCTTTTATAGTGCTGGCTGGCTCTGTATCATTAAAAGGACTTCAAATATCAGTACTCCAGTTAGCAATTTATGTGATGAAATGTAATGATGACTGTGGCATGAAAATGCTCATTTAATAGAGTTTTTTTTTTCCCAGCTAAAAATATGTTTGAAAAATAAGTGTTGTAGAAGTTTCTCTATGATAACTAGTGACTGGGCAGGACTGAGTACCAAAAAAAAAGTCTGTAACATGTATTCCTCATATCTGCAATGTGCAGATGTTCTTGGAAGCATGGGTGTCCCTCTTCAGCTGAAGACAATAATTATAGCAGGATACTGATTCAAGATTTACTATTTTAAGATGAAAAGAGTAGGAGTATCTACATATTGGACTTGCATAGCAAGAGAAGTAAAGCAAAAGCAGTATAATCATTGTGACAATTTATGTGCAGATCAGCACTTAAACTGTGTTCAGTGTCAAAATGAACCTGAATTTCAGGTGGGTTGTCCTCCTGCAGCACTTGGGTTCCTGTAGTTCCTGTAGCCATGCAGCCCTGGCTGTGAAATAACGATTACCTTCTCAGGCCTTCCATCCTTCTCTGAACTATTTTTTTTCTTAAGTGTCTGATGTTTTTGTATTGACTGGGACAAAGAAGCCAAGTTTCCTCTTTGTCTTTCTTTTTTTAGGAAACAGTGACTGGTCTTCAATTACACAGTAGTCCAACTGTTTAGAAACTTTTCTGCACTGGAGGAATAAGGCAGAAACCTGCTAGACTGCAGTATCTAGAACTCTACCAGAAGTTTTGTTTACAACAGATGTTTGCCATGTTTTGCCAGAGGCTTGATCAGTTTACAGCTTTTCCTAAGCGTCAGTTGTTAGTACAAAAAGCAGGTACAAAAAAGCTGACATTTTTTCTGTCCTTTTTTAACAAATTGGGGTAAAGAACATTATTTGTCATAAACAACATAGTGTAAATTTCTCATTTCCCCTTTATTGAATCTCAGAAGCAAAGCACTGTGTTGTAACTGAAGTGGTCTCCAGGTAAAGTTTCTTCTGAGAAAATAATGATGCTCTAAATACAAATCTGGAATAATACTTGAGGATTTTCAACTGTGGCTTGGGCAATTTCTCATCAAGCCTAGATGATAGTGTATTCATTTGCAATATGTTAAACAGTTTATATTAAACAAAAGGAAAGTAACAGGGAAAGTAGTATATATTATGCAAGAAGATGCTTTCTTAATCTCTAAAGTTGTGGTCAGATGTAAAGATTTCTTTTCCTCTGTCCTATTTTACATTTCTATTATTGTCAGCAAATTTGATGTCTTCTGCAAATTAAATAAATTATGTCCTTTTGACATAACTGGCCTCTGTATTGTAAGAAAGTATTCTCTGCCAAATGCTACTCATTCAGTTTTAAGCTTGTCTGCAAGTTGTACAGAGGCAAGCATTTACCTAGCTGATATGTAGCTTTCACATGGCTTTATTTCTTTTCATCTTACCCCATGTAAGAAGAAATCTCCAGCTGGGACTAGCACAAATGCTAACATCTGATACTGTGGATCATACCCACTGGAAATTCCAGGAAAATCAGCTCTCAGGCTAAAGAATCTGTATCCACATTAAGGATAAATGACAAATATTTGAACATTTCCCAAGGCCCCTGTTAACAGCTTCCTGGTACTGTAAAAAGAATTACAATCACAGGAGCTAAAATTCTTATGATTGATAAGAAATGCTTATGCAGAGATAATGTAGACCTTAGAAAAGTGGGAAGTCATCTTAAACACCCTCAGCCATCGGGAACTTAGTTGTCTTTTAGCTAGCTGTGTGCCCTGTTTAAACACCTCCACCAAGTGACTCATCCCATACTGAGACAGATAGTCTAAGACTAGCCAGAGCAAGCCACCCTCTAGGGCTGCCTCTGTCTATCTCTGTACTACAGAGAGGGCACAGAGGACTAGCAGAAATAAGGTGTAAAACTCTTGCTAAGGTTAGCTGAGTTGAATCCACCCTCAGGACATAGCTATGGGAGAAATACACATGGGAAAGAAATATCATTATGCTGGGGTCTGGCTTTTCTATTCATTAGTACTAGTGGATCCAAGAAACAGGACTTAGAATTATTATTTGGACTACTTCACATACCACTTCAGTGGCCTCTATTACTGTAATGCTGTACATTCAAACTCTACAGGTGACTGTGCTCTGTGTGTCAAAAGATAGTAATTTGTAGAGAACAGTGGATTAGAATGCTACATTAAAAATTAAATCTCTTCTTAAATACATAAAACCCTCAAAATCTTCATGATGGGATAGTGACAGCAAAAATAAGTTGTAAAGAACTTACTGCTGTAGTGAAAAAAGGAAATAATACATGAAAATGACTGCATCTGTTCCTAAAGTAATCATAAAGAATCTTCGTGACTGCAAGAAAAGGTAGTAAAAAGCAGCAGTGCTGGAGCCAGTGAAACACTTTCCAAACAAGTCCTGCAAATAACAGAATTAATGCAAATACAGAGTCATTGCATTGTGTCATTTGAAAAAGCACCTTGCTTTAACACATCTCTTTTCATGTTTATGTGATGACTTATTTCAGTTGTTTGTCTATAGGAACATGGTGTTCCTGAGTCTAAAATCAAGAGCTACTGCTGGAGCTAAAGAATGAGGTCAGTTAACTTGCAGGGGTTAAGCCAGGCTGGATACTAGGGAGGGACAAAATGACTTGTGTTATAGCTGACAATGCAGTTCTGACATGGTGCATGTTATGACTAAACAAATGTGCAACAAACAGATTATTAGTCATAGAAGCCCTCAAGCTGCCACAGGTACTCCTGATTTTTAACTGTATCTTTAGATCTCCCATTCACGGTCAAAATCAGTCTCTCTTTAGTAGGAGACAGGGAAGGCAATTTCATATGTGAGTTTCCAGAGGTCAGCAAAGGCACTGGGGTGCAGCTTTCCTGCTGTGGAAAAGTACAGCTCACCATGTGCTTTTCAAGAGGGCACCTCAGCCCAGCATTTGAAATGTGAATTTACCTGAAGGTCTGACTTTCACTGACTGTCACTGACTTGGCATACAAGGGGACAAACCAGGTTTGAATAAGAAAGGATCCTTGTATTTTGTCCATACCACAGAACTCCTTTGTTTGACCAAGGAGGAATACAATGAGACTGTGAGAAAATGAGAAATTATATTTCAAGCGGCATTTTCTTTGTGGTTTCCAGGAGAGTGATAGAAAGAAATTGGATGTTTTGACTGTTCCTTTTGGTTTGCTAGTAAGTTAGCAGCTAGAAATTCTAAGGCTTAGGGCTTGCATTTTTCTGTAGTTATTTACCTGGGGGCAAATAGATATGATCAAAATTAATATTGTTTATGTATTCATATTAATATAATTTAATATCAAATTTATTTACCTCAAAATCAAAGGCTTGTTCTCATAGGTCTGGAGATGGGGTTCAAGAGACTTTGCACTGATTATTCCTGACTTCTTGTTTTAGGATAGGCAAAGGAAAGCAAGAAAGAAGGAAAAAATATTCCTAATGGAAAGTGTTTGTAGTATTTAAAGATTCTGTTGGAGTCTTGAGGTCCAAAATGTCTTGGGCAAGTAACAATTGTATTTCTAGCCATATATCTAGAAATATATTGCTTTGCAGCCATATAGCTCTGACAGTACATGCTGAGTAGCTTATATACTTAGAGAGATGAAGTAGTTTTAGATTATAGTCTTTCATGGGTTGCGCCTTATATGGGAACAGGGTGCCTAAATGTCCTCCCGTGTATTCTGAAATCTCTCATAAGGTCTGGGAGCTGGGGAAATAACCAACAAGAGGAAAAAGTTAATGCTAACAGAAACCAGACAATAACCACTCTCCCCCTTCTGTTATATAATGTATTATCATTAGGTGATGAGTGAAAAGAAAAGGTATTAGTGTCAAGGAAAGAATGAGTTACCATTGTATGAGGCAGGAGATTGACACTGTATAAATTCAGGATGCAACTTTACACTGACTGATTTATTTACCAGAAGACAGATACTACTCAACTGATTTAAATTACTTTCGTTCCTCTTCTTCCACAGTCATTACCAAGAAAACCTTTTTATCAACCTGTCCTCACCTGAGGAACTTTGTGCTCCACTTCATACAGAGTGCTTGGCTTTCAGTCTCCTTGCAGAAAAATAACGGCTATTAGGTAACAAGGTCTAACAGAAAAACACAACCCAGACATGGGAAACCAGGTACATTTAAAACTTCTGTACTATACCTCTTCTTTTACAGCCACCTGCAATATCTTTTATAAAAGTCCTAAGCTTTGATGTACATAGCCGTATGATGTTCTTATTGCTCTGTCCCAAAGCTGATGGAGGTGGCACTTTCTCATTTTTGAGAATTAACTTTGGTGACTAAATTTTACAGACGTTCAATAACCTGGCATTGAGTAAGATTTCTCGCAAACACCACAATACAGTACTTTAAAAATCTGTCCTTGAAATAAATCATCATCATGCAGCCACTTGCTCACGCCATCCCTCCCCGCTCTCCAGGCAGGATGGGGAGGAGAATCGAAAGAATGTAAACCCTATGGGTTGAGATAAGAACAGTCATAGAATCATAGAATCATAGAATCATAGAATAGTTAGGGTTGGAAACGACCTTAAGATCCATGGGCAGGGACACCTCGCTCTAAACCATATCATCCAAGGCCTCGTCCAACCTGGCCTTGAACACTGCCAGGATGGAGCATTCACAACTCCCTGGGCAACCTTTCCAGTGCCTCACCACCCTAACAGAAAGAATTTCCTCTTATATCCAATCTAACTTCCCCTGTTTAGTTTTAACCCATTACCCCTTGTCCTCCTACAGTCCCTATGAAGAGTCTCCCCAGCATCCTATAGCCCCTTCAGATATGGAAGGCTGCTATGAGGTCTCCACGCAGCCTTCTCTTCTCCAGGCTGAACAGCCCAACTTTCTCAGCTGTCTTCATAGGGAGGCCCAGTCCCCTGATCATCTGTGGCCTCCTCTGGACTGTTCAACACCATGTCCTTTTATTAAACAAACTACACAAACCCATAGTCTCACAGACAGATAAAGGCAATCACCCACCCTGGTCACCCTTTTGATGCAGCCAGGATAGGTTGGCTTTCTGCTGAGCGCACACTGAGCGCTCATGTTCATTTTCTCATGACCACACCCCAAGCCCGCAGCCTGAATCTCTTCTCTGCCCACCTGAGCTGTGCCTGGGATTGCTCCCACCCAGGTGTAGGACCTTGCACTTGCATGTTAACTTCATGAGGTGGCATGCCCACCTCACAAGCGTGTCAAGGTCCCTCTGGATGGCATTCCTTCCCTCCAGCATATCAACGAACCACACAGCTTGGTGTCATCGCAACTTGCTGAGGGGCACTCAATCCCACTGTCCATGTCACGACAAGATGTTAACAAGAGGTCCCAACACCATCCCTGAGGGACACCACTCATTACTGGTCTCCAGCCGACATGGCCATTGACCACAATTTTGTGTCGGCCTCCAGCCAGTTCTTTATCCACCAAGTGGTCCATTCATCAAATTGATTCTCTCAGAGACAAGAATGTCATGTGGGACAGTGTAACGCTTTCACAATCCAGGTAGATGACATCAACTGCTCTACCACTGTCCATCAGTTCCGTAGCCCCATCATAGAAGGCCACCAAATTGGTCAGGCAGGATTTCCCCTTAGTGAAGCCATGCTGGCTGTCACCAAGCACCTTGTTGTTTTTCATGTGCCTTAGCATGCCTTCCAGGAGAATCTGCTCCAAGATTTTGCCAGGCACAGAGGTGAGACTGACTGGTCTTTAATTCCCATGTCATCCATTTTCCCCTTCTTGAAAATGGGGGTTATATTTCCCTTTTTCCAGTCGTCGGGAACTTCACCTGACTGCCATGATTTTTCAAATATGACGGCCAGTGTCTTAGCAACTTCATTTGCCAGCTCCTTCAGGACCCGTGAATGGATTTCATCAGGACCCATGGACTTGTGCACGTTCAGATTTTTAAGATGGTCTCGAACCAATTCCTCTCCTACAGTGGGCCCAAGGTCTTTATTCTCACAGTCCCTGCATCTGCCTTCCAAGACTTGGGTGGTGTGGTCAGAGCCTTTGCTAGAGAAGACGGAGGCAAAGAAGTCATTCAGAACCTCAGATTCTCCAAATCCTGTGTAGCTAGTTCACCCGAGAGCTACCTGAGGGGGCCTACATTCTCCCTAATCTGTTTTTTATTTGCTATGTACCTGTAGAATCCCTTCCTGTTATCCTTAATATCCCTAGCCAAGTTTAATTGTAACTGGGCCTTAGCTTTCCTAACCTGGTCCCTAGCTTCCCGGACAACATCCTTGTACTCTTCCCAGGCTGCCTATCCTTGCTTCCACTTTCTATAAAACTCTTTTTTCCAGTACAAAACTACTACTACTACTAATAATGGTCATGATAAGGGAAATAACGAGGGGATAGAATATAAAACTAAAAGGGGAAAGGGAAAAAAACCCAAGCAAAACAATAAACACAAGTGATCCACCATACAATTGCTCACCACCCACTCACTGATACCCAGCCTGACCCGAGCAGTGATCATTCTGTTCTGGGTGAGTCCCCCCGGTTTATATAGTGGGCATGACATGCTGTGGTCTGGAATACCCCTTTGGCTAGTTTGGGTCAGGTGTCCTGTCTCTGCTCTGTCCTGGCTTCTTCTGCCCCTCCTCAGTGGCAAAGCGTGAGAGACTGAAAAGTCCTTGATTTGGGTAAGTAGTACTGAGCAACAACTAAAAACATTGGTGTGTTATCAGTGTTGTTCTCGGACTAAAGCCAAAACACAGCACTGCACCAACTCCTAGGAAGAAAATCAGCTCTATCCCAGACAACCAAGACATATCTGTGCAACAAAAATAGTGAGGAACTTAAAAGTGCGGGTGTTAAATACTACATTAATGAGTGAAATGTCTGTGGTCTACCAAAGACCTATCAGACACAGGTAGAACAGCATGCAGAAAATAACCAAAGATACATAATCTGTACTGAACAGGGGTGCTGGTGAGTGAAGTGTATGTATTCACTGTATAAAGCAATCCAAAAGTCAAAACTGCAGAATAGAAAGTGATAGCTAGGGGAATATGTACAATGTGTAAGTTACTAGTTAAAAAGGTAAGGGGTACTGGAATTTGTACCTTTTGAGTGCAAGAGACTGAAGAGCTGGATCTGGTTGTATGGGGCTTAGTCACGAACCCCGAGTGCACCGTGCTGCTTTGAACAAAATGAGAAATACAGAACTGAGTAAACCCATACACCTGGACACTGCAAGGAATCTGGAACCTGGAAGTGGTGGGATGAGGAGCTGTCAAAGTGACTGAAGAGCCTCCACATTGCCAACAGCAGACTAGTCCCTGGAGAGCAGTAGCATCCAGGCACAGAGCACCCTGTGGTCAGTGGCAGAGTCAGGCTCTGAATGGAACAAGGAATGTGAAACAACACCCTCTTAACTTTGAAAAACACTGCTGCACATGGATGAGTTCTCCATTTTTTCAACTACCTTGTACTTTCTAAGTATAGTGCAAATTCCTCTTACATAGAAGGTAGATGGAAAGCACCTAATATTTAAGTGAGTATTAGAAAAACATAGTAAAGGAGATAACAGTTCAGTGGCACAGAGGACAGACAAGCAGAGGAATGAAAGGAGACATAGCAAGGCACTGTATAAAGAAAACAGAGACATTCATCTAACAACAGTAACAAGAGGTGACAGTCCTTCACTGTCTAGGAGCAGAAATAAATCTACTTACAGCAGTAATCAGTAATGCTTGAAATCAATAATACGTAACAGACTAATGGATCTGAAAAGTCATTAGTGGTGTGGGAAGCTTACTTCCTAAAAGTAACATGAACATTAACATTAGAGCTAGGCAGAGAATGGGTAATGTTGCCTGTGGAAAAACTGATATCTTCAAGTGGTATGAAAAGCATAAATTCTGGGTTTTTTTTTCATGAAAAAAAAAAAGTCAAAATAAGTCTCTTGGTAGTTCCCAGTCAATATTTTTTGCATGAAGCTTCTAAACTAAGAATATGTTTATTTCAAAAATATTGTGAAATAATACAGATAGTCAGAATTTTTATAAGGATTGCATTATTAAAATTATTGGGAAAATACCTAGTTGAACTGCCTTTTGCTAATGGACAACTATTTAGAATTTTTGTAGTAAAGCTAACTAGCACAAGAAGATAATGTGGGAAATAACGACATACAGTGACTATGCCACGTTGCTACCTTTCTGTTTAGCTTGATAAAAGCCAAAAAAATTTATATGTTGCATCTAGACTATTAGAAGTCTGTTCCATTACAGGAATGCATTGTTGCATGTTTTTTCTTACTCTTCAGACAGAAAGAAAAAAGCTGTAAGGGTTGTGATAAGACTAGTAAAATCAAATCAAATGTATTTTTTTAAGGAATATCTACTGAAACTAGATATGTTGATCTTGGTAATGGTTTCGGCATAACACTTATGTGAGAGGATTACAAATTTGTAAAGCAAGTCTGTCATAGAAGTCATCTCTCCAAAGGAGGGACTCCTCTGGAAGAGCATCAGTACTTACACAGAATGGCCTTTGAATGTCCAAGGCAGATGAAAAAGGGTTCTCCTGGGCTTTGCTCATCAAAAGACAGGTATCCCTATTAACAAGTAACATAGAAACAGAATGGGAGGAGGTATGTTTCTCATTCCCTCTACCCAGGAATGGGAAAAACCTTCTAAGATAGTTTTCTATGAGAAAAAGAAAAAAAAAAAAAAAGAGTTCTGAAATTCTGTGTGAAATATTTTTAAAAGCAACCAGCAGACATTTGAGACCTCCAAAAGTTAACACAAATGCTGATCATACTACTTTTCTCTTTAAAGGAGATTTAGTAACTTAAGACCCCACTTCTAGTTTGCTTTCTTTTGTTTTATCCCTTTGGTCCCTTTCTTTTCTTTCCATTTGTGCCTATAAGTTGCTGTTTCATTGAAAGGCAGGTTAAAAACTGAGTGTGAGCTCTAACTGGAAGTAACAAATGAGGTTAATTTTACTTCGAAAGCAGATTATATTAAAACTGGTTTCAAAAACTGGGCAAGTTTCCAGACTGTTTTTAGATCATAAGGTATAAAATAAGATTGCAGAACGTCTGTAAGAATCAGTGTGATAACTTAGTATTAACTGGTATCATTTAACCTCTATCAAATCT